TGTGGGCATACCATGGATTTATATAGAGGCAATATGATATTTTCTGTCTTATTATCTATCCCTTTCTTGATGATTCCCAACATTTGTTTGCTTTTTTGACTGCTGCTGCACATTGAGTGGATGATTTCAGAGAACTATCCACAATGACTCCAAGATCTCTTTCTTGAGTGGTAACAGCTAATTTAGATCCCATCATTGTATATGTATAGTTAGATTATGTTTTCCATTGTGCATTACTTTGCATTTATCAACATTAAATTTCCTCTGCCATTTTGTTGCCCAGTCACCTAGTTTGGTGAGATCCTTTTGTAGCGCTTCGCAGTCTGCCTCAGACTTAACTATCTTGAGTAGTTTTGTATCATCGGCAAATTTTGTCACCTCACCGTTTACCCCTTTTTCTAGATCGTTTATGAATATGTTAAATAGGACTTGGCCCAGTACAGATCCCTGGGGGACACCACTATTTACCTCTCTCCATTCTGAAAAAGAACCATTTGTTCCTACCCTTTGTTTCCTATCTTTTAACCAGTTACCAATCCATGAGAGAACCTTCCCTCTTATCTCATGACTGCTTATTTTGCTTCAGAGCCTTTGGTGCGGGACCTTGTCAAAGGCTTTCTGAAAATCTAAATACACTATATCCACTGGATCTCCTTTGTCCACATGCTTGTTGACCCCCTCAAATAATTCTAGTAGATTGGTGAGGCATGATTTTCCTTTACAAAAAACATGTTGACTATTTCCCAACAAATAATCTTCATCTATGTGTCTGACAATTTTGTTCTTTACGATAGTTTCAACCAGTTTGCCCGGTACTGAAGTGAGGCTTACTGGCCTGTAGTTGCCAGGGTCACTTCTGGAGCCCTTTTTAAAAATTGGCATCACATTAGCTATCCTCCAGTCATTTGGTACAGAAGCTGATTTAAATGATAGGTTACAGATGACAGTTAGTAGTCCTGCAATTTCACATTTGAGTTCCTTCCGAACTCTTGGGTGAATACCATCAAGTCCTGGAGACTTATTACTGTTTAGTTTATTTAGAGAGACAAGGTGGGTGAGGTAATAACTTTTATTGGACCAACTTGTGTTGGTGAGAGAGACCAGTCTTCGAGCTTACACAGAGCTCTTCTTCAGGTTTGTTTTAATTTTTCTAATAAACATAAATCCTACATTCCTTCATACTCTGGTGGTGCTTTTACACTTTTGCTGTATAGCTGTATCTTTCTTATCAGTGAACTTGATTGCAAGTATAAGAGTTGAAGACTTAAATCTGTTTTAAGTGAAAGCTTGGATTCTGGATAAGATAATGACAGTGGCCCAGGAAAGATTGCTACTTACCCTAGATAAGTGGATTTTTAAAGTCCTGCCTATAACTAACCTTTAGGATTTCTCTAAAATTCAGGCTTCCTTCAGTTATTTGAGAAGTCAAGGGATGTGAAACTCTGCAGGATTCTCAATGACAGCGGATATTATCATTATTATGTTTGGTTGTGTTGATCAAATAAGTAATTTTGTGTTCACTTAATAAAAGGCTACAATAGAAGTATTACTGTCATGTGGCGATTGTGTAAATCCTTTTTATTTTTATTTCCTTTTTATTGGCTTTTGTTATGAACATTCTTGTGGCTGTCTGTGCTTTTAACACTTTTTGATTGTTTTGTCTTTACCTTGGATGTTTTGTTTCTTAAAGTTGCTCCAATGACAGTAAATACATAAATCATAGCTGCTTGTCTTCTCACAAGCTATATTTTCATGCCAGATTACATCCGCCATTTCATTTATTTTGTTCGGGGTGTAAATAATAATGTTTAAGGATTCAGAGTTACTGATGTAAGACCTCAGTCTCAAAATTCACAGTGATAGTGTCTAGGCAAATGATACTTTTCACAATGTCATCACTAAGAGTAAAATCTTCAGAAGTACCTGAATCCCTTAGGCTAGGTCTACACTACAGGGGGGGGTCGACCTAAGATACGCAACTTCAGCTGCATGAATAGCGTAGCTGAAGTTGCGTATTTTAGGTCGACTTACCTGGCTGTGAGGACAGCAGCGAGTCGACCGCTGCCGCGCCGCCATCTACTCCGCTTCCGCCTCTTGCCGTGGTGGATTTCCGGAGTCGACGGCAGAGCGATCAGGGATCGATTTTATCGTGTCTTCACTAGACGCGATAAGTCGATCCCCAATAGATCGGTTGCTACCCGCCGATCCGGCGGGTAGTGAAGACGTGCCCTTAGATTCCTTAAGTCACTTTTGTAAATGGGACTTGAAGTGGCTTTGGTACTTCTGAAACTTTTACCCTGATTCCCAAATATTGATGTCACAAATGATGTAACTGTTGAGTGGTTGGATACCATAAGTTTCAAATGTAAGATAGGTTGCTCTGAAATCTGTATTGAGCCTTCTAGAATTTAGCCTAATTATCCCTATGCGTCTGCTTAACTGGCTTTGAGTCTACAATTTTGGGGGACTGGGGAGGGCCGTCAGTCTTCTCTAACGCCTAACATGGGGATTGAACCTACGCAGAGCAGAATTGAAGAGTATAAAATCAAGCTTTAAATCACTTTACCTTTTAACTTATTCTTTAAGCCTTGCTTTGTGCTGATGAATCTCATCCCAGGCTTTGGCCCATTGGTTCCTCTCTCTGTCAACGGAAACAGTGCTTCCAGTACTGTGTGTACAGAAATTACCGGAACAAAGCTGTGAGCCAACAGCTTGGGTAATAGAGTGCATTAGCAGAACAAATGTGAGCACTTAATTCTTCTATTACCTTTTAAACTCACCATGTCTTTTCATTTATTTTAATTGGGGAGGTGGATATTTAACTGGGTTTGTCAGACTTTCAGGAAAGATGGCTTCTCTGTGCACTAAGTATGGAAAAAGTTGACAGTGGAGAGAAGTCTTGGAGAGAATGATTTATAAGAGACTAAATAGACTATCCAATTCAAAAGTATTGTATATCTTAGTTTATAATGCCCTAATACATGTTGGAGTTTAATGTTTCATTAAGGCAAACATTTTATGGTTTTATGCACTGACCTGTGTATTATTTTACTACTTACCGTTTTGTTGCTGTTAGTTCGAGTTTCTTAGCCTCTTTATTAGAGGTCAGCTGAACCAAAATGACAGATCTAAATACCCCCTAATATTGGAAGAGTTCATATCCATATCTGAACTTTTCAGCTTGGGACCCTTATGTTTTTCAAGAATTCACTTCTGAAAAATGTTAAAACCAAAAACTTAACCACAAAGAAAAGCCGTCCATGATAACCAATGAGAGTGGGAGGATAGTAGCAAATTTTAATGAATATGGAAGAAAAATTAATAGATTTTCTCCTTTTAAAACAAACATAGTTCACACTTGCTAACTTTATATTGTAGCTTCTCCAGAAAATATGAAGGATAGCATTGGATGTTTATTGTGGTAATTTCTGCTGTGAAGAGCTGACTATGGTCAGAATGTGAAATAAATGGAGTCAGGGCTGGTGCAACCACTAGGCGAACTAGGTGGCCGCCTAGGGCGCCTAGTGGTTGAGGGCGCCTAAAAGCCCGCTCAGGTGAGGAGGTGGAGTGGAGGTGAGCTGGGGCGGGGGGGCGCGGGGAGGGCCGCCCGCAGTAATGGGGGGGCCCATAGGGGAACCGCTTCCCGCCCCAGATCACCTCCACTCTGCCTCCTCCGCTGAGCATACAGCCCCAGCTCTAATTCTCCTCCAATCCGCGCCGCAAGCTTGGGAGGGGAGGAGAATTAGAGCGGCGTCGGCGTGCTCAACGGAGGAGGCGGAGCGAAGGTGAGCTGGGGCGGGCTCCCCAGACAGGGTTAGCTTCCGTGGTGCGGGGGCTCCCTGGGCGGGGGGGGGGGGGGGGGGGGGGGGGTGGATGGGGGTGGTTGGCTGGGTGGGGGGGTAGCGCAAGGTGGAAGTTTCGCCTAGGGTGCGAAACTTCCTTGCACCGGCCCTGAATGGAGTTAATATTTGAAAACAAGACAAGGTGGGTGAGGGAGTGTCTTTTATTGGACCAGCTTCTGTTGGTGAGAGAGACAAGCTTTCGAGCTTATACAGAGTTCTTCTTCGGGTCTGGAAATCTTACTCAGGGCAGGTCTATACTTAAAATGCTGCATTGGTGAAGCTGCCGCACTTAAATGAAGATGCTCCTATGCCGATGGGAGAGAGCTCTCCTGTCAACGTAGTTAATCCACCTCCACAAGAGGTGGTAGAAGCTCACCCGTCGACATAGCGCTGTCTATAAGGGGGGGTTAAGGTCAGTATAACTACATTGCTTGGGGGGGGGGGTGGATTTTTCAGACCCCCGAGCGAAGTAGTTACACTGACATAGGTCTGTAGTGTAGACCAGACCTCAGAGTGTCACAGCTAAATACAAGGTGGAACAGATTGTTTACCATAAGTAGTTAACAAATATTTCAAGGGATGGTTCAAGATGAAGTAGCCTGTTAATACCCTTCCAGTCATAGGGAAGAAAAGGAGGGAGGGCAAAGCAGCTTGCGGGGGGAGGGTTGTTAGTGGGTTATAGATTGTTGTAATAAGCCATAAATCCAGTGTCTCGATTCAGCCCATGATTTTTATTATCTAGCAAAATTATGAATTTAAGTTCCCAGGCTTGTCCCTGGAAAGTGTTGTGCAGGTTTCCTCTGAAGATGAGGACTGATAAATCAGATATAGCGATCACTTTGTGAAAAGTGTTCACCCACGGGTGATGTGGTGTTTTGTCTTTTATCATTTTTATCATCTGTCCAGATGATCAAAATATCATTGATTGTATATCACACATATCATTGATTTTTGTGGTGCATTTGTGGTGTACCTCATCCAGTGCACTAAATGCCCCAATAGCAGCTACGTAGGTGAAACCAGACAATCACTATGCTCTCGAATGTACTCACACTGGACAATTCAGAGTTTAACTTAAATTCTGTGTGGCGTTTGTAAAGAAGATCCACTTTCCATGCTGCATCTGTTCACGTAGTTGGCCTTGCTTTTTTTCAACAGAGGCTGCAAGTCGTGCCATAGTCCAGTTCCTGGAGATCAATCAAAGTGAAGAAGCCAGTAGAGGTTGGATGCTGCTCACTACAATTAATTTACTAGCTTCATCCGGACAGGTTAGTTCTTCTTTATTATCATGAAAACCAAAGCAGAAATACCAAAATAATGTTTCCAGGTGTGCAGCATTCCTCGTTAAATAGCACATGTGAAAAGGGGCCATAGGAACATCCTACAGTGCCCTAATTCCAAAGCTTACAGGTCCTAAAGTCCTTTACATCTCCTTTCTATGCTGAGGTTTAATTTTATTATTGTGTCTCTGTAGTGATGCTAAGGTTATGAATTGAAGTTGCCTAAAAGAGAGTTCTCTGGGGCTGAAATGTATGTCTTTTCCTAGCTCACAGTTAAATAATTTTTAGGTAAAGAAGTAATAAATCAGAAGTGGCTTTAGAGAAGTTTCACAGAGTCTAAAAAGTGCTTTCTGCTCCTTAAAGTCATTTTAAAACTGGAATAACTCAAAACTTCTTTACTTTAGAAACAAAAACCAAACAAACCCTTGTGATCAGGTATTGATTATCTCTTTGGGGACTAGATCTGATTAAAGATATAAATAATTGCGAAATATTGTTTTTTTTATTTTCTGTTAATGCATCATTTTGAATTAATCTCATTTTCTGTGAAAGTTTTAAAATAGTCACTGAATAGTTTGTGAACAAATTTCAACCTATAAGTTGTTCATGAAGTGTTTGTTTCCCTGCTAATTATTTGTGGTAGTGCATGACTAATTCTCTAAGGGCTTGTTTGGACAGAGTTAGTTTGCTGCAAGTGGGGGTGTAAATCTACAGCACACTAACTCTCCATGTGGACCCTGCTGCTGCACCCTAGAAGTTCTCTCATGCGCTTTAGCCTACTACTGTTTCAAATGGAAGTATGTCAAAGAGCACTAGGGAACTTCTAGTGCTTATGGACCCTGCTACTGCAGCTAGTTGGTGCTTGGTCCACTAATATTTTGTGGATTTACACCCCAGCTTGCCAGGCACTAACTCACCCTCTAGGCAAGCTCTAAGTCACGTGGTGGTGTTTATTCTCCATGACTGGATAAACTGAGGTCAGCTCTACACTACACAACAAATTTGGTATAAATACGTCGCTCAGGAGTGTGGAAAATAAATACGTCGCCTGGAGTGGCGTAGTTATACCAACCTTAACCTCCTGTGTAGACAGTGCTATGTCAGCAGGAAAGCTTTTCCCACTGACATAACTATCGCCTTTCACAGAGGTGGAGAGCTGTCTCCCGTCGGCTTAGAGCATCTTTATCAAAGTGCAGCTGTGCCGATGCAATGTTTGTAGTGTAGACCTACCTTGAGACAATTAAAATAGGAGAAAATACATTTCTGGTAAGATGAGTTTGGGAAAAAATCTTCTATATTTTGAAACCTTTGGAATTTGGAAATATTTTCACTAATAAATCAATAGTCTGAACACAGAAACAATTTGTAATTTGGCCCCATGAATAACAGTGGAGTGAACTCCTTGTGCTTACTAGGAAAAATATTTGTAAATATTTTTTATCAAGCCACCTATAATGCGGAATGTGTACTTTGAAAAATATTAGTGAGAAAAATAATAGTTAGGAATATTTGAAAATAATATAATGATCTTTGCTACCAAACTAAGATCTCACTGTGAGGATGAAAGAAAAGAACATGCAACAGCCTAAGATATCCATAACAGATATTAGTCTTTGAGATGCTGATGGCACCTTGACCAACTGTCCTTGTCTCTTATCCTTAATCTATATCCTTCCATACTCTTGAATTATGTATGATCATTAAATTTGTTAGCCCTTAAGTACCCTAACTTAGAATTATCTGCTTTCAGTATGCTGATTCCTGCAGAGCATGTGGAATTTGATTTTGTCCCACATGGATATCTTTGCAGGCTACTTGGATCATCTTACAAGACAAAGAATTTGGGAATAAATAGTACCCCATTCATGGAGGCCACACTATGTAAAGAGATAGTGAAGCCAAAGGCAATATGAGCTGTATTACTGAGGCTCTGCTGGCTGCCCTTCTGACACATTGGACAATTGCATGCTGTCTTCTCTCTGCTCCCTGATTATCTGTTCATATATCTTACCAAATCATCCCACCTACTTTACAAATAATACCAGACCCCACCTCCCAACTTTTCCATTCTCCTCCAGATGTTTTCACATTTTCTTCCACGCTGTTCTGTATGCATGAAACAGCATAAAGCCAATACCTTCTCCTTCCAATCCAATCACACTTCTGTGATGACTGCAAGAAATATCCAACTGATGAGGTCTAGATTGAGTGCCTGAGGGGATTGCTGATTTTTATTTTATTTTAAAAAGCTTTATAGTTTGTAATCGCTAAGATCCATCAAGCTGATATAAATGATGCTCTTATCGTTGTTGTTTTTGTCTTCCATTCCCTTTTACTGTTTGTTACATTGTTGTCTTGTCTTGTGGTAGGGATTGTGTCTTCCTATGGCTCTAATCCTATTTGGATCATTTAGTGCTATTGTCATATGAATAATTAATGATTATTTTATTACTATTGATATATTTAGACCTTTCTCTGAGTGTTGTCTTGTTTTTCCTCTATTTTTTTTTTCCTTTTTTGTAAATGTTGAAGAATACATGATTCATCAGTACTGCAGTTTGGACGCTTGTTAAATTTATAGGAAGGAAAAGTTCAATGTTTTATGCAAGCTTCTTTCTGTGTGACTTCCATTAAAGGCAATAATTTGCATAATTAAATCATTCTTTCAAAGAATACAGAATGTCTTGAATTTAAAAGAAAATTATGTTGTATTTTAAAAAAATTCACTGTTACAATATGGTGAAATGTTACTGGCTTTTCTGTTTTTCAGAAAACAGTGGACTGCATGACGACGATGTCGGTGCCTTCCACGCTTGTTAAATGTCTATATCTGTTTTTTGACCTTCCACATGTGCCTGAGGTAGTTGGAGGAGCGCAGAATGAGCTACCTCTAGCAGAGCGCCGAACGTTACTACAGAAAGTCTTTGTACAGGTAAGAAGATAATATAGGTGTTGAACATGTAGACAGACTTTTTTCTCTTTAAAAAAGGGGGTGGAGGGTATGAAAAATGGAAAGAGGAGGCTTTATCGGATATCTCCAGAAATTGCTGTTGATCTGGGCCAGTAACTTTACACTTGATGTTTTTTTTTTCTGTTTCTTAACAGAGACAACTGTTTGTTAGCAAAATGAATTTCCCTGCCAGCAGAGTTGAGACTGAGTACTTTTTTTCTCAGAAAATATTTTGTCCTCACAAATGAGTGTAGCACTTGTACTGGGCTGCTTAAGAGGGATGACATGCAGACCACTTCCTCCCATCCTCCCCCTTCCCCCCCCCATTGTCTTTTATGTCTTTAGCCATTACAGTTATTTGAGTAAGTACAGTAAAAATAAGCAGCACTGATATTAATAAGTGGACTATTTAAAAACATGCCACCTTTATTTCTAATAGGGAAATAAATCACCTTCGTCTGGCAGAAAAGGGAAGTCACTGTTGTGGCTTTCCTGAATGAGTTAATTTAAGACCTTTTCAGCAGAACAGAATGAATCGGTTAACTTATTGCAGTTTAGTCTGTGTACTTGGCTTGGAATTTAACTTCACCACTTTATTCTTATTTTTTTTCAGTTAAATAAATAAAGATGGATGTTACAGCTGCATTTTATATAGCTTATACAATTATCCTTACTCTGTTTGTCAATGGAAGGAAGAGGGTAGACAGCATATTTTTTTACCTTAGAAAAGGTTGTATTATGTTTGTCTATCAGCATCTGATTATAAACTATTATATGTCAGTGGATATATCTATTCATGCTAGCTCCGGTGTTCTTTTGTGCAAGGTGCTGTGCTCCCTCAACTCCTTTTGGCCCACAGTACCATTCAGGATTGGCGTTATGGGTTTAAATATCTGACTAGATACATTAAACACAGTACATTTTTACTGGTAATAAATTTTGAGTAATTAAAAATGTTGAGATGTTGCACTTAATGAACAAATGTTTCTGGAATATCAACTTTTTGGTGTGCTGTTCTTTATAAATGACACTTTGAATAAAAGGAAGAAGCAGGGGTTCTGTACCTTGTTTATGGAAGATAAAACTGACTGAGTCACTTGGTTGTCTCAGTTTGTAAAGGGAAAGCTAGCTTCCCATTTGAAAGAGTTGAAATATCATGAATACACCTTTGGCTGTTTGTCTTGTAAAAGGTTTTTTTTGATGAGGCTTCATCTTCCTAGTGATCTTTTCAAATCTTAGCCTTTGTCAGTTTGGCCATACATAAATATATTTGAGATACAGTAAGCCATTGCGGTGTTAGACAGTGTCTCATGGGCTCTTATTTGTGTGCTGCCCAACCCCCCTCCTATCCATTCTTGAAAACCTCTTTCCTGAATTAAAGGAGTACTTTCTATCCAGACTAGCTGGCATGACTGGGGTCTGAGTTAGAGCCTGGGTTCTACTTTCACTTGGGCTAGTAATCTACCCACTTTACAGTGAGGAGACAGGCTTACATACTCAAATGCTGATAGTCCTCCGATGCCTTCCCATAATTCATCCCATGTGCCCAGAAGAACAGAACAAGTTCTCCCACAGTTCATTGTGAAAGAATTGTAGAGCAGCTCACTTACTGTAGCACTAAAGAACCATGGGATATGGCCCCAGAAGTCCTAGTAACACATACAAGGCAGCACAGCAACTCGGGTAGGGCTTTGCAGTGTGGCTGCTCACTCCTGGCCAAGGCTAACTCAAATGCTCAGACCCGGGTGCTGATTATCTAAGTTAATTATGCACTGAAGACATACCCAGAAAAAGTAACCTTACCCGCCCCAATTATTTGCCTGCTCTTCATTTGTCCAAGGAGGCATGGATGCTGCTCCTCCCTTCCCAGCCAATCAGTGCTCTTCATGCATTAGAAAGCATTAGAGTCGTTAGCTTGTTAACGCCTCTATCCCTGTTGCAAGAGTTGAACATGCTGTCTAGGCAACAATTCTAGTCTCTGGCAGACAGTGCATAAATGGACCATATTTAGGACTCAAATTCTGAGCCCCACGTGGCAGCATAAAACACTTAAAGTAGTCTGCCAGTTTAGCCCTATTCATTACATTTTAATGGGCCTGAGGGGTGGAATAACCATGAACATTTAAAGACCTAATCTTAGTCTTATTTAACATGGATGAAGGTAATTAGGGCTATTCAGGAAGCAATATGCAAGGTAAAGAACTGCACATTACTTTGCTAATGAATATAACAGTTCTAATTGGATGATCTTTTTTTGTGATCAGTTTGTATAAAAGTACCAATGAACTCTACCAGTGTAGAGTTCTGCTGTTAAATATTTTACTGTCCCTGTGCTGTTTTAATAATTTGAATCCCTTATTGTTTCAGATCCTAGTAAAATTGTGCAGTTTTGTGTCGCCGGCAGAAGAACTGGCTCAGAAGGATGATCTCCAGCTTTTATTTAGTGCAATAACCTCATGGTGCCCTCCCTATAATCTGCCTTGGAGGAAGAGTGCAGGGGAAGTACTAATGACCATATCGCGTCATGGCCTTAGTGTCAATGTAGTGAAATACATTCATGGTGTGTATCTTATAGAGAGATTGTTTTTATTCTTTTGTTCCAGTTTATGTATTGCTCCCTTCATCCTGTAGTTTCTGTATATAATATAGCAAAAACTAATGTACTTCGGAAGATTTAAGAGTATTTGTATACATCTGTGGACTTAAGGTTAAAATGTCATCAGAATTGTTCTGTAATAAGATTAGAGAGGTTCTTGTAGATAAACCAACTTCCCATGTTTCCCCCCCCCCCCCCCCCCCCCTAAACAATAAATGTTTTCACAATGTGGAACATGTTAGTGAAGAGGGTGCTTACATTAAAAAAGTAATATTAAGAAGCTATTTGTGATGATTGTAACTGGTGCTGGTGACATCAGTTTGTGAGGGGTGGCTCCTATTTCTCTCCTGCTTTTTGATGTAGCAGTAGCCCTTGTGGAGGCAGGCAGGCTAGGCACTTCTCATTTCCAGCAGCGTGTACTGGCACTATACTTTTAAATAAAGTCCCTGGACATCTGTGAACGCAGCTGGACACAAGGAGTTGGAACCAGTGCCCTGTATTCTGCAGGTTCTGCCTGAACATTCAGAGATCCATGAAAGTTGCTGCTGTAGGGTAAACAGTGCATTATTTAAAACAACCAGTGTAATCTCACTAACAAACAAACAAATATGGAGAGAGTATTCAGATATATCAAGGTAATGAGGCAAAGTCATTCCTGCATGTCTCTTTTGGCCTTGTCTGAGATAAGCAGCACAAATAATAGCTCTGTTGCCCATGGAAGTATAACTTCTCCAGATGGTTCCATTGTCTAAGTAGTGATTTCCATGGTTTGCACACCATCTTCACATTATCCCTAATGGATCTTCAAATGGCAATGTTCGTGACCAGGAATAAGTGCTATTAGCCCATCACATAACAGATATGGAATTTGCCAGACCAAGCCATAAAGATTCTCCACCCAGTAGATAGAGTAACATGCATGGCAGCAGCTTTGAATGCAGATGAACTAGGTAGAAGGATGGACACATGTATTCCCAACATTGAGCTGGTATACTTGGGGAAAAAAAAATTGTAGTTAGTAGTATAAAGGTACATACTGGTTCTGCCAGTGTTCGGCATTTAAATTACAGGGAGTAGCTCTCAAATGATATAATCTTTTAAAATAAATTAAACTTTTAAACTGGGGCGGGAGGGCAGGCACAGCATCTTTTAGCAATCGGTAACATTAAGTTGGTTGTGAATACTCCCTGGAGAACATCTTCTTAAGACTCTGTGAAATTGTGGTAGCAGCTTTTGAAATATGTAACCCTGCTTCCATATATCTCATGCAACACCATAGGAAGTTTGGTCTACAATATTTCTCACACTAGCCATTCACAAATTACAGAGGACTCCCAACTCAGCCTAAAAAGAAAATAAAAAACCAGAACCAAACGAGTTCCTCATTTTGCTTTCAAAGACCAAAAAAAAAGTAAGGAGCCTAATGGCAACAGTGGTAAGCGTTTTCAAATAGGACTTCAAAGCGGGGACAATTGTTCCCAGTTACATCCGTAATGTATCTTTTGGTGTATGTGGCAGGAAAAGAAGATATCTAGTTTGTGATTGTACCAGTGTCTGTTGTTTTACTGATAGCATGTTGCATGATATAACCTGGTTGGCCTATTAAGAGACACATTGATAGTGCAGTGTTCTTTATCATTTAAATAATTAATCATGTATCAGGCTTAAAAAAAGCAAAAGTCTCTACTGCCTCTTTTTGGAATCGAACCTGTTCATGACAGTAAACCTGATTAAAAGATGACAGTGTCTCAGAAGGGAGTTACGTGATCTGTGGTCTGTGTCTGATGTATAGCATTTTGTGTAATGTCATCCAAGATAATACATTAAGGAATGTTCTTTCTGAGTGCCTGTTTTGAACATCCATACTGCAGCTGGGAGAGAGAGAGAGATGGATGTTGCAGCTTGGGCTCTCAAGCCCACCTGCCTCCTTGGGTCTGAGCTCTGATGGCTAGCCCAAGTATCCATCAGAGCCACAATGCTCACACCACTATTTTTAGTGTGCTAGTTTGAGCTCAGCTAGTGTGAGTCTGTCTGCCCAGGTTGGGAGGCTCACTCCCAGCTGCAGTGTAGATGTACCCATCTAGGAAGATATTCTGTATCTGCCAGGTGATGGTGAGCTAAGGCTTGGCTAACTGATGCAAGGCACGTGAAATAAAGAATGCACCCATAAATCTAGCCACAAATATGGGGCAGCTGTTGGTCGAGTTTTGTCCATGTGGCAAGTGAATATGGATTAATAATACCCAGATCTGTGTCACTGCAGGATGGGAGCTGAAATAAGACTTATTGCCCTGTTTGTGTTCAAGGATCTTTGGCCATGCAGAAGGTCCAGCCACACTATTTCCCTACCAGAATAGCAATATGAAAGAAGACATAGAATACTGTATCCAAGCATATCGCAAGAGACAACACTAAGGGTTTTCCCTTGAGTCAGTAAAATAGTAGACATGGTGTTTTTTAACAACCTAGAGGAAGGAAGATATTCTATAATTGATTTATTGTAATTTGTCAGGGTTTTTTTCCTTTGACATTTTACTTCAAAATAGTAAATTTAATCTTTGTTTTATTTTCATTATATTAAAATTTAAAGTGCGAATTAATGAAATGTATGCTGGGCCCCTTCTGGAATTAGCTTCTGGGAATAAATGTGTAATGGTTTTTATCAACATGCTCAGCATTGAACCTCCTGATTATTAGACTTTTACTCGATAAGAGGACTGCTTCCTTGGACAGTTTGACAGTTTTGATAAATGCCACATGGAGCTGTTAAACATTTTAAAGGGGCTTCATTAAAAGTCACACTTCTCTTTGAAATGATCTTCTGTGTTGTAATACGTAAGATTATTATGACTAAAGGGGATTCAAGTGAAAAATAAATTGCTCTATTTCCAATGGGTTTACATTGTGCATTGGACAGTGTAGTGTATAGTCAATTTCAATTTTTGCTCTGTAGAGTCTGTCAGTTAGGTCTTTCATACAGCAATAGGAGGGAGAAAAATATTTACCTTTTTTTTAAATATAATAAAATGTGATTGTAAGACAAAAGGGAAGGATGGGGGAGAGAGAAAGGGGAGAGTGAACAGGACTAGAGTTTAGATGTATCCTGAAGCCACTTCCGAAACTGGCTAGATTTCAAGCTCAGTGTCCCTTTAAATATTGTGTGATAATAAACTATTACATAACTGTTACTTCATTTCTAAGTATATTTTAATAATCAGAAATGATGTTTTTAAATATGTATAATGATGGGGGAAAACTGTTTCTTAATTGTGTCCTTACAGAAAAAGAATGTTTGTCCACCTGTGTTCAGAACATGCAGCAATCTGATGACCTTTCTCCCCTAGAAATAGTTGAGATGTTTGCTGGGCTTTCTTGCTTTCTCAAAGATTCCAGTGATGTATCACAAACACTGTTGGATGATTTTAGGATATGGCAAGGATATAACTTCCTCTGTGATCTCTTGCTCAGGTATGCAAATAATATTTTTTCTCGACGGATTCTCTAACAGATGGAGAGCATATTAATATACCTGAATGCATTTTTAGGATCTAACAAAATGCAGTGAGGATATTGTAAATGATAAGGTTATTCAAAATGGGGATAATGATCCTGACACTGTAATGGGAGTATGTCAAAGTGCATTACAGAACTTTTAGTGCTGTAACAGTGTCCACATGGGACGTTACTGCACAGCAAGTTAGTGTGCTGTAGATTCACACTGTGGCTTGGTGCGTGCTAACATCCCATGTAGACAAGCCCTTAATTATATGATGTTATTACGGCATCTGTTAAAATCTTTACTAAGAAGTTTGGACAAGCCAGCAGGTTTTGGCATGCACATTATGGCTTGTGCAAATTAGCTAAGCAAATAAATAGGAGTGAACAAATAATACATAAAATAGTTTTCTATTTCCTTTTCTGTATGTTACATTCTAGTTAATCCACAATGATAGTAGAACCTTGCAGGACAGAAAGCTTTAACAGCAAGGTGTTGTCGTTAAGGCTCTTGTTACTAAAACTTCACTTTTTTTACAAAATAAACTATACTAAATTTACTAGTACATTAGAAAGTATTGTCATAAAACTAAAATTGTCTACATGAACAAAATTTTATTATGAAGCATGATATATTTTATTTGTGTTCTTATGTTCAGTCAGAAAATTCAGAAATCAGTAATAGCTCCCTCAGTTGCCAAACCATGTCTGTTTGTTTTGAATGCAAGCTCCACCTATTTTGCCAATGTATATGGAAGTTCAGATTGTAAGAAGCATGTATTGCCATAAAAAAGCCAAAACTATTTGAAAATGAAGGCTACAATTTTCAAACTTGGTGCCTGAAGTTAGGCACTAAAATCCATAATTGTGAATCTAAATAACTGTCCTGATGTTCAAAGGTGCTAAACAGCCAAGCTCCAGTTGATTTCAGTAAAAGCTGTAGATTGGGGTCGGCAGCCTTCGGCACGTGGCTCATCAGGGTAATCTGCTGGCGAGTCGCAAGACATTTTGTTTACGTTGACTGTCTGCAGGCATGGCCCCCCGCAGCTCCCAGTTATCGCGGTTTGCCATTTCCCGCCAATGGGAGCTGCGGGAAGTGGCGGCCAGCACGTCCCAAAGGTTGCCAACCCCTGCTGTAGATGCTAGTACAGGGGTGGGCAAACTTTTTGGCCCGAGGACCACATCTGGGTCTGGAAATTGTATGGCTGGTCATGAATGCTCACAAAATTGGGGATTGGGATGCGGGAGGGGGGTGAGGGCTTTGGCTGGGGGTGCGGGTTCTGGGGTGGGGCTGTGGATGAGGGGTTGAGAGTGCAGGAGGGTGCTCCGGGCTGGGACCGAGGGTTTCGGAGGGCAGGAGGGGGATCAGGGTTGGAGCGCAGGAGGAGGTCATGGGTGCAGGCTCTGGGCGGTGCTTACCTCAAGCAGCTCCTGGAAGCAGCGGCATGTCCTCCCTCCAGCTCCTATACAGAGGTGCAGCCAGGTGGCTCTGCGCACTGCCCCCGCAACTCCCATTGGCCGGCAACCAGAGCCCCCTGGTTGCCCCTACTTGTAGGAGGCAGAGGGGGGATGCGCTGCTGCTTCCTGGAGCCGCGTGGATCCCCGGCATGCGTGGAGAGGGGCAAGCCCCCGATCCTGCTCCCCGGCTGGAGCTCGAGGGCTGGATTAAAATGTCTGAAGGGCCGGATGTGGCCCCCTGGCCATAGTTTGCCCACCTCTGTGCTGGCACCTCCCTAAATCAAGCCCATTTATTTTAGGTACTTTGTGTAGAGATATAGTTCTCAAGGTTTAGGCACCCAAAATGACAGTTTTGGCTGAAGTTTTCAGTTACATTGGCTATTTCTGCTGCATGAACTTGGGCATCATGCAGAAGTTATAGCTTTGTTTGTGACATGTGTTTAGGCCCAATGAAAGAATCAAAAAGCGGTCTACCCTGCAGCAATGCTGCTAACTTTATGCCTTATGATTGTTGTTCTAGCGTAAATGTTGCTTTTGAAAATGTCTGATCTTTTCCTTTTAACCCCCCACATTAGCAGTATCACAAAATAAATCATTTTGAGTAGATTCAGTCATAAACAGAGTTTTAGAAAAGCCCATTGCAATTAAAAGCTTTCTTCTAGAATACACTTTGCAGTTCAGTTTCACTGAAAATTGTTACATCAGAAAACGATTACATAAAAATGGCAGCATCTTAGTCAATAGATTTGTCTTTCTTCCTTGTGTATATTGTTACATCTGCTTTCTTTTTTAATTAAAACAGAGAGCATTTTAAGTGCTTTTTGCTTGTTAGCACTGCAGACCTAGTGCAGTTGTGACAAAGAGAGTAGGATATTTTCTGGCTGGCACACCAGAATTGTCTGCCTGTTTTTATTATGAATCTTTATTAATGATGTTATGATCAGGGCTGCCCGGGAGGGGAGGGGGGGGCAAGTGGGGCTTCCTGCCGCAGGTGAGTACGGGGGGCGTCCTTTCCCCAACCTCCCTGCAGTCACCTGCGGCGGGAAGCGGAGCGACGTGGCCCCAGCCTGCTCCACTCTGACATCTCCCAGCCGCTGCGCTCTGCTTCCCGTCGCAGGTGACTGCAGGAAGGTTGGGGAAAGGACGCCCCCCGTACTCACCTGCGGCAGGAAGCAGAGCACTGCAACTGGGAGCTGGTGGAGTGGAGCGGGCTGGGGCTGGGCTGCTCCGCTTCCGCCGCTGCTGGTGAGTTTGTGGGGGGGATCCCTTCCCCCAAACCTCCTCTCGCGAGTGACATGGCTGGGGCTGGGGTGAGGGAAGCTGAGCGGGCTGCTCCCGGCCCCCTGCTAATCCCATGGGCCACTCTGGGACTGTGGGGCCCCCAAAAGTGCCCTGGGAGGGAGCCCCTGACCGCCCCCGATACCCGCTGCCCCGTATCCAACCCCTCGGCCCTGGACTGGCCCGGCACCCTTAACACGCTGCTCAGAACAGCGTGTCAGAGCTTTACCGTGTTGTATGCAACCCGCGTTATATCGGGGTAGAGGTGTAATTCTAAGGTTCTACTGTATATTGTGATTTATTATTTTTAGGATACATTATTTTGTTTTCATCCTAAAGCTGTCCCCTGTTCTTTGGCCCCTATTATGCTGAGCCTTTTCCACTCTGTGAAGATTTTAATACCTTTTTTATTTTTTTTACAGTAACTGAATATAATAAAATACCTTTGTACACTAATGTTGTTAGTAGTGATATCGTTTATTATATTCTTGGTATAGTAATTTTTTTTACAAAGAACTGCATTTCAGAGAGTTTCATATAAAACTTCTGCAGTTCTCTTCTGCAGTGTACTTATAAAGTTTTGTATGTTGCACAGCTGTCTTTGAAGTACTCCTTTTATGTATTTACTCTGTGTCTTATTTCCTCATCTGTAAAATGATGATACTTCCTTTCCTTTCATGTCCGCTGTTGACTTGTCTGGTTAGTATTTTTTGGGTCACGGATAACCTTTTACTTTGTGTTTAGCATATTGAAGCCCCAATCTCAATGTGATTTTCCAAATGCTACCACAATACAAATAATAATGTTTAATCAATTGAATACTATAAAACTTAGAAGAGAGTTTAAAATATGGAAATGTGGTGAACTCTAGCCTTTGGCTTCAGAATTCTCGGTCACTAAATCTGCCTCTAAAATTAACATCTCTCCTTAATTTAAGAAAAAGCAAAACTAACTAAATAAATAAACCTCAGATGAGTTTGAGTGAATGGTTTATGTTAAAGTGAATATGTGCTAATATGATCTGTTGTACTGTATGTTCTTTAGATTAGAACAGGCAAAAGAAGCGGAATCCAAGGATGCTTTGAAGGATTTGGTTAATCTGATAACTTCACTGACAACATATGGTGTCAATGAATTAAAACCAGCTGGTATTACCACCGGGGCACCTTTTCTGTTGCCTGGATTTGCAGTCCCACAACCTGCAGGCAAAGGTGAGTTTACTGTTTGTATCACACAGAGCAGAAGTCTTATTGGGGGAGAAATTTCTGATACACTACAGAAACCATTTACAGTTCATGTTTCTTCTAACATCAGAATTAAATATTGACTTTAAAAGGTGATTTTGCTTAATTGCTAGTATTCAGATGAAAATAAGGGAGGCAATTTCTCCTCATTTAGCTCCAAATGCTGAATCACCCCTCTACAAAGTACAAATTAAATAGATCCTCCCTGCAGATCTTAAAAGTTTGGATACATATAATTTATAGCGTGATTTTAATCTGATTTTGTTAAACTGGTGCAAAAGGCTTTGTGGATACTGTTTGGGTTTTTTCATTTTAAAGCAAGTTTATTTTGTTTTAGCTTAAGTCAATTAGAGAAATGTATGCTAAACTGAAATCTTCTCTTAAACAGAAATGAATTGTCCACAGAGGGGTTAGTATCAGTTTAACTAAATCAATATGAGTTTGGGTGAGGAGACTAGGTTTAAGTAGTAGTAGGAACTTAAAGGGAATATTCCCTTTTCTTTCTTTCTTTCTTTCCCTAGATTTTTTTACACACACGCGCGCACACACACACACACACACACACGAAGTTGCACCCGTTTACTTGAAATTGATTTTATAAACAGATTTAGTTAAATCAGTTCAACACCTTTATGTGGAGACTCTTAAATTCATTTAACCTGTTTACTGTCAGTTTAATTTAAAACTGATTTTTTACTCAATGAAGCTAAAAGGATACACCCCAGATTTAAATTGGTTTAAGAATGCCCACATGCGTTTTGCACTAGTTTAACTAGCTTGATTTAAAAACACACCTTTAGTTAGACTGCTGTAAGTTCTTGTGTAAACAAGGCCTTAGAACCTTGGTGAGGAGTGGCTGAGAAGCTAATCTGCTCCAGTTCAACTATCTGTAAGTTTTAATAACACCTGGGACCCCGACAAGCCTCATATGTTAGTGAGAGTTAGGCTTGTGGATCCATCAAGCAGTAGATCTGCTAGTTACTCCATGTGTGGCTTGTCCCTTTCTGCCCAGCAGAATGGTTCCTGCTGAGTTTAATACTTTACAGGCTCATGGAGGAGGGTCTTGATTCTGGTGCTTGTGCTATGCCTATTCCCTGGATACAGTACCGGTTTTTAGGCTCTGTAGCTGTCCATCTTTCTTGCACATTTCATGAGCTCTCAATTAGCTTTTCAACATCTTTCATTTTAAAACAATCATGGAAAAACTAGTAATTTAGAAGAGAAAATTTAATGTGTGGCTTTGCAATGCAATATTGGTATTAATGCTCTTTATTGGATGCTTGAACAGTATATACAGTTGTTGCATATTACATTTCAAAAGGTTCTGTTTTCAAGGAAAGAATGAAATGTGGCATTAAAATAACGGTCACTTTTGTTTAAGAGACAAAAGGAGCATAACAAATGAAGATAGTATTCAGTGCAAACATAATAAATCTGTGCTCTGTCTCTCTTGAAAAATCTAAAAACAAATTACAGGTTGATTAAAACAAATGTTTTCAATTAGTATTTGAAAATAAAACTTTATCTGAAGATCAGTGATGTATATAATACATAGTAGTTCCAGTTTTTATTTTTAGAAGATTTTATGAAGTTCTTTTGGAACTGAATTTTAATAGATGCCGCACTTTTGGATTTCAGTCTCATACTTGAGATTCAAAGCCACAGCTCTCAAACTAAAGATGACTTCATACTATGGAACTCTTCACAAAAAGCTGCAAGTGTGTGATTAAATTGTTTTAAAGTTGTTTTGTACATTTTATAGCCTTTACTTAGATAATTAAGTTATCTAAAGAGGTTACTAAAAAGGTTAACTGGCTTTCTCAAATTTTTACCTTTAATTTACTACTATGTAATTCCTTCTTAATCTTTTCTCATCCACTCCTCTCAAACATCCCCATCCTGCCCAAGAAAACCTGTTAGAAGGCCAATAGTAGTATGTAGGCTTTTAGTGCAGACAGTATAATTCTGTGTATGATAGGTTAGACTACATGACAAGTATTGTATTACACAAATTTAACACAGCTCATGAAAGTGTTTGCAGCAATTATATTCTCTGACCCCAGTGTACTCTGATGTTTGGACTAATGAGAGTATTACAACATTAGAGAGGTATCCGTCCAGTGCAAAACTATTAACGGCAAGAAAAATCTTTTCAAATATTGCAGATGTTGGCTCACATTTTGCATTTATTAATCTTGACTATATCAGAAAACTCACTCATGAATGAGGGTGTACTTCCAATATCTATAGCCATTTGGATATGGAGGTTGAGGGTTTTCTCCTCTTTTCCTCATCCTTCTGTACCCAGATATAAGACAGAGAAACTATCCTGTTCTTCTGCAAGTGATTGTCCATATACACATTCTGCATATGTGCATACGCCCAAGGATCCATTAAACTCCAGACTTATAATTGTGCCACAGAATTTCCCCATGTAGACAAAACCTTAGCTTGTTTGTGGTTGGTCTCACCAAACACTAATTCTATCACCACTGAGGGAAGTCTAACCCACGTTTCCAGGACCAGCCTCCCAACATTGAGGTAATATGAATCGAAGACAAGTTAATTGTACCACGTGCCTGTACCATCAGTTCAAAGCTCAATGTGTCTGCACAAAGTGAACAGCACAATTGCGTCAAAGGCCAAAAGTGCTTGTGATCTGCTTATGACTATTAACTCCACATCGCCTCTTAACCAGCCATACAACAAATAACTCCATGCCAACTTATGGCCCTCTGCGACAATAACCACAAAGGAAAAAAGGGTAGAGGGAAATAGATTTTTGCAGCAGGAAAGAGTAGATTAAAAGAGGACACTCTCTGCCTGTTGCTCTTACTTTAAAGGAAGGCATTTTGTTGGCTAGCCAATCCCAGCTCTTGAAAGAATCCCTGGGAATTGGGTAAGAATAGCCTTCCTAAAGGAGGGCCACCACTGGCTGGCAGCATCTGTAGCCAACTCAGGGATGTAATGCCAAACCCCTTGGTCTTGCAATCTGATCTAACTCTCTTTGTTCCACAAGTGACTTCCAATCTGTTCAGAGGTGGGGGAAGTTAAAAGAATGTGCATGTTACTGAGCTTTAATTTGATCAACACTTTTTTGTTATGACTGGCATTACTACTTGTGATATTATTGAGAGGTTGTTGTGAGAGAGTTGCTGCCGCATATCGTTCCAAACTCAGTCTGCTTGCATTACTATAGGTGACTGATTGATTGGCACACAGAACATGTTACAGTTGGTGCAAAGTTTTCCATTATGGATCAAATGGTGCTTTTCAAAGAAGTAAATTTCCTATCTCAACTATGACCTATTCAGATTTTTAATCAGTTAAATTGCATTCAGATTTTTTCATGTTCATTTACCCTTTGATCATTTAAAATACTATATCTTTCAGTTGGTACACATACCAAAGTTTATTTTCAAAGAGAAATGCCATCTTAAGCAACAATAAATAATAGAACTTTCAATTCAGAATTGTGAAATAAGTGGGAGGAGTTTGTTTAAAGGATGTCTTAGTGTGTTCTTGCTCTGAAAAATCCATTTTAGTAGAATTTGTTTCTGCTTGTTGGGCTACAGAGAACAAATTGTCTGTTTGTTTAATTCATACTTCTTCCTTAATATGGTCAAGCAAATGGATATAAAGAATTTTGTTTTTTTCCCCTTGTTTCCTTTTGTAGGTCATAGTGTGAGGAATATACAAGCTTTCTCCGTCCTTCAAAATGCATTTTTGAAAGCAAAAACTAACTATCTTGCACAAATTATTCTGGATGCCATTACAAATATTTACATAGCGGATAATGCCAACTACTTCATCTTGGAATCACAGCACACCTTGTCCCAGTTTGCAGAGAAAATTTCCAAGCTTCCAGAAGTGCAGACCAAATACTTTGAGATGCTGGAGTTTGTTGTCTTTAGCTTGAATTATATTCCTTGTAAAGAACTGATTAGTGTCAGCATCCTCTTAAAGTCCAGCACGTCTTACCAGTGTAGCATCATTGCAATGAAAACACTTCTTAAGTTCACCCGTCATGACTACATCTTTAAGGATGTCTTCAGGGAGGTGGGGCTTCTGGAGGTGATGGTAAACCTTTTGCACAAATATGCAGCCCTTTTGAAAGATCCCACTCAGGCTCTGAATGATCAAGGTAGAGTGTTTTCTTTGCTTTTATTTATTTACATGTTTTTGGATGCTAAAAGAGACTAGTGTTGGTTAGCAGGGCTAGTTCTGGTTAGTTGGGCCACCTGGGTTCCATTCTCAGCACTGCCAATGAATTACTATGTGATGTTGTGAAGCTCACTTAAACTCTCTGTGCTTGTTTTCTTATGTAAAATTATGATAATGTTTATCAATCTTTAGAAAGTGCTTTGAGGTCCTCTAATGAAAGGTACTATATAAGTGCAAAATATTTATTAAAAATATATAGTAGCTGGAGTTTTCCATTTAAAAAAAAAAACATACCTAATGTAATATTATATTTAGGTTATTCTAGTACAGGGCAAAAATTAACAAGTGGGGAATGTCCTCTGTATGATTATATATTGTCTTTCATCCCAGTTATCACAGTAGTTTACAATGTGGCCCTAACGTAGTAAAGTACTTTTGAAGCACAGACCTTTATTCTTGCATGAAGACCCAATGAGTCACTTTCTCTCCATGTGAGAGTAAGGGTCCATGTTTGCAGAGCCCTTTCAAGCTTTGTGGGGCTGTATTGCTATAAACACACAAACAAATTTCTTCATCCATCTCAGGTGTTGAACACTTCTCACCTATGCCATGTAACAGTTTAGGGTAACTTGGTTGTTTTCTGGCTGAAACTATATTTTACTTGTCTCCATTCAACCTATAACATGTCTAATGAATTTTATGCATCTGTTACCTGTGGCATCTCAGCATGTGATATCTAGATAAACCATTTTAAACTGCTCAGACCATAATAAGTAACCAGCAATAGTTCATAATCATATACTTGATAAAAAATCTACCCTGCACCATGTCTTAGAGATTTGTTAGTGTGAGTGGGGGTGGCCTACTAGATGAAGTCCTAAGCCTGCAGCTCCCACTGAAAAACACTTCCGTTCTTAAGAGTGCCTATCTAGAGTCTGTCAACAAAAGGATCAAATTGACATTTGGATAGGTCACTAGGAGCAGTACACTTACTCTTGTGAAAGTGCTATGGGATCTTTAATAACCACCAAAGCAGTTAAGATGTCTCTTCGATCAAGCAGCACAACACACCTAAAATACTGTGCTTGGCATTCAGCTCACACGCTTGATGAATCACCAGCATCACTTAAGGCAGTGCACTGGGATTTTTCTTGGAAGCTTTCTCTATCTAAGAATTGAATAGGACAAACCCTGCACACTTAAAAATATATGGTATTACAGCATCAGGAAGTAGAATTATAAACACTGAAATAAGAGATACAGGTGCAATGTCTACTACACAGTTGTCAACCTGTTTTCATGTGTTGTGATAATTCACTTTTAAAACAAATTTCTGACTTAAACTTTGCATACCATTTTGTAAGACATGATTAGTTGTGCTGCTTGTAAGTCCGAGAACAAAAAAGAGATGCTAATTTTTTTGTGTGCGCTCTTCAGACCACTTTGGTAACTGTCTTATTTTAAATATAAAGAATGAGAGGATTCTTTTATTTGGTTATTGCAAACTCCTGCTTCTCTTCTGTTTTAATAGATTTTTTTTTTTAAGTTAACTTTCCAAAAAGAGCTGTATTTTCATGCTTGGGTGGAGAGTGAAATGTTTTCTTTCAGTAGAATGAGAGCATGAGTCTTTAACATGGTGATAAAAGTTGTTTTTGTTTTGGAAATGGTTAACGGTTTGTGTCACCTACTGCAGGTTTTAATTGTTAGGGCTTATCTATGCAAACGTTTAGTTTGCAGCAAGCTTGGATGTGAATCTATTGTGCACTAGCCTAATGCTCACTGTCTGGGTGGACTCTGCTGATGCCCACTAACAGTTCATTAGAGTGCACTTTAATCTATTCCCATTTCAAAGTAGGGTAGATCAAAGCACATTAACGAACTGTTAGTGGGCATCAGCAGGGTCCATGCAGTTAGTTAGTTAGTGCGGGACACACTAGTGCATGGTAGATTTACACCCCATCTTGCTGCGAACAAAATATTTGTTTAGAGAAGCCCTGAGGAAAATTGAGATGACTTAACTAAAGGTGTGAAATTAAAGCACATTAAATTCCTGTGTGGATTAAGCTAAAGCAAACTAAGGCAATTTTACTGAATGAGAGCATCTACAGATGGATTTAATGTATTTTAACTTCACACCTTAAGTTAATTTGTGGCAACTTTCCTGTGTTTGTGTGGATATGCCCTTAATGTGATTTAAAAGTTTGTTAGAGGATGTTTTTTGTGTGGAAGCCAAAAAAAATGGGGATTGGTGAAAGGAACAAAACTTTATTTTTTAATCTTTAAAAAAAAAAAGTCAGCTTTGTTGTTTTCAGTGCAATGAACTTTTGAAATGATTTTCTAGGGGATTCAAGAAACCTCAGTTCTTTTGAGGACCAAAAGCAGCTAGCTTTATTGGTTATGGAGACCTTGACAGTACTACTTCAAGGATCAAACACAAATGCAGGTAATTATAGAAGTTACGTCAGTTATGATAATTGTGGACTCTGAAGTGCATACTTAAAAAGACATGATTTAAATGAGAAGTATTGACTGATTGGGCTAAATGTAAGATTGTCTGCATCACATATAATAATTTTGACCTTGAAATACAACATATTAATAGTACAGCACTTTATTATTACATTCAGTTTCTATGGTCAAAGTCTACTGATGATCTTTTCCCTGAGTCATGTATTGACTGTCATGTGCTGCAGGAATTGAAAATATACTTTAATGTGACCTCATAGTTTTACTTTGTTTCCTGTTATATTTTTAAGAGTAAAAATCTATATAATGCAGTTAAAACAACATAATGAAAGGACTATGAACAATTTCAGTCCGTTTAGTTATAGAATTAGGTTTACCTATTCAGCTTTTTACTAAAAATAAGCTATACGTATAGTTTATAATATAAAATAGGAGCACCTTACTGAATAGTTTATTTGCTACTTAAATTACTGGATATTCACACAAATCAAGTAACTGAATGTATAGATGTCTAACTAAACACACCTTGCCATTTACTTGAGCTTATTCCCAATTTGCATGTACCAGGTGTGTGCTCAATTACATGTGTATTTTTGAAAATTAGGCCATTTTCAAATTCACATTATAATGTAGGTTACTTTATTGTGTATCAGACGGGTAGCCGTGTTAGTCTGTATCCACAAAAACAGCGAGGAGTCCTGTGGCACCTTAAAGAGTAACAGATTTATTTGGGCATAAGCTTTCTTCGGTAAAAAACCCCACTTCTTCAGATGCATGGAGTGCTTCCTCATTATTTGTGTATTTCATCCTCAATCTGTATCTAATTTACATATATGTGCCCTATATGTAAATAAGAGGGAGGGGAAGCTGATAATTCTTTTAAATCCTGCCTCTTGCTGACCAATTAAAAAAAAATACACTACAGAAATTAGCAACTATAGGCCTAAAGCTCTTTAAAATGTCTCTACTCCTGCCCATTTCTTTTCTTCAACCCTCACCTGTGTTTCAAAGAATCTAGGCCTTTTTTACTTTTATTTTTACTTAGTAAAGAGAAATTAGAAGCTGTTAAAATGATCATGATTTGACTTTCTAAATTAAACTAAGCTTGAGAACAACCCAGCTGTGTTGGCAAAGCACTGTTGTGCACACGGTCTTGACTGCTAGAATGTAACTTTTTATTTGTTTCCTTTTTCCTTTCTGAAATTCAGCCTCTGTGTTTAACAGCAGTTTGCAGTCAGATGAAAGCATCATGTTAATCCTTCAGTCATGGTACTTTGTTCAGAAGCCTTTTACAGGCAGATGAGTTGTTTTGTGTATAAAAAGTTTAGCAGGGCGTATTGATCAGTCTCTGATTTAGGTTTTCTGGATACAGATAAATTTGAAAGCAGCCCAGTTGCTCATAAAACATTGTTTGGCTGCTAACCTGTAATGTTCCTTAGGTGTAGGGGAGAAGAATGAATCCCAAGTGAATGGGAACAACTTGGAAACTGCAGTGATATTTAATATTCAATTAGTATTTTCTGTATTTTAGCTTTGTATGCTTGTGTGTGCCACGCTCTCTGTTTTAAGTAACCTACACCATCTGCCCTTTGAAATAATTGACTTCAATAGGCTTTGGATGGGAAGCCTATATGAGGGGTAAAGCTGATGTCAGGCCATAGGGTGGGAAGAACGACTGTTGAAGGAATGATCTATCCTTATAACGAGCAAAGAAGGGGAATAGAAATCAAAGGTGCGTCATTTCTCACTGGGCTGTGGGAGCTATCTAGTTTTATCTGAAACTGGTGGAGACTAAGTAACAATAAAATTTTAAAAAAAGTTACAACACATTTACAAGGAAATAATTTGTAAAAATTTATAGAAACTTACCTAAAAATGTGAAACATTTCCAGTGCTTGTCATAATGGTTTTTAAGCAGAATTAAATTTTTCCTGACTTGATTTCTTTCTTCTGGCCTACAAGCAGGAAAGTGGAAGCTTCTCTGGATTTTACGTTGAAGAATGTATGCATGTGTATTTAAAATGATTACTTCTGTAATTTTGATGTGAGTCTAGCTACAGTCAGTGCTGTTAAAAACAAAACAAATAAACAAAAAAACCACCCAAACGAACGATGATTACTGCACCATGTTATTTACCTTTAATGTGGTTTGTGGTATCTTACTTTAAATGTTTCAAGTGCTCAATAAATGTTACGAGTATAGGTGATAAATATCTGAAATTAAAAAAACAAAAAACAAACCATTTTCCTTAACATAGTGAATTTACATCTCTCCCAGTTAGGGTATGAGTATCTCTTTTGATGCTGTATTAATGTTCTGTGCTCTTCTTATAAAATAGGTTACCTACCATACAGTGTTTCCATAGTGGATATCACTTCACACCTGCACCAAATGCAAACTGACATAATTCTGCTTGGCAGCCTGTCAACAACATTCCTAATAGCTACCCACTGAATTACCTTTTTGACAGTAACTATCTATCAGGCTGTCTTACTCCTGCAACTTGTTGTTAGTAAAATGAAAGCTTAAAATACTTAGCAATGTAGAATAGTTTGTAGTTGGAGTACATTATTTTGTTGATGGCGAAGTACAGAGTGGAATATGTCTTTGGTTTCACGTCAGATAACCTTGTTAACTAAATTGTGATTATTTTTTCCCAATCATACATTTATATATTTATTCCTAACTTACAGAATAGAAAATTAAATTCAGTACACTGGATAGTCCCTACATTGTGTAAAAAAATGTATTTATAAGATTAAAATTTCTTCCATAAACTGTGTAGTGCAAAACAATAATTCCATTTCCTCTTAGTTGATATTGTAGCACTAACTCTGTTACAGTAGAACCTTGCTAATTACCATGGCTGGAAGACATATTGTGAATTACTCAATGTGGCAAATTAGCAAGTAAACAGATAATTTAAAAAGCAATCAGAGTAATGTATCAGAACGTTTACTGTTCATTTGTTTTGATAATTCAATTTTAATGTGATATTTCGTGATCTACTCAAGTGTCTTAAAGTTCACTCTGTAAAAGTAATAGAAATCTTATTAATACCTTGCTATTAAATCTCGGCAGAGTTTTGTGTTAGGCTGCTACCAGTTTTTCTACAGATTACAAGTCAGATTTATTTTAATTATGATTAAGAAAGTATTTCCATTATGAGCCTGTATTTTTAGGTGTTTATTAGCTTTCTGTAAAAATTACTGTATCAGGCTGACCTATTGCATTGTTTAGTCTGAGTATAGAAATAAATGTCTTGTTTTGGAAAGTTTTGATAAAATTTTGTTTTTCCATTTTGGAGATACGCAAAAGTGAAAATGTGGTGGTTACTAGTCAGAAGTTGTTTCAGGTGCTATTTTACATTTGGATGACTGAGATTGTTTCTTTAGGGGTGGAAAAAAGGGAACCTGAAAGCTGAAAACATAGGCATCAGAATTAATGTCAGACAATTTATGTGAAATTTTATTGGCAATTAAGAACATTAAGAATCATTTGAAAATATTATATTGTGTATATGTAGCAGATATTTTCCCCTTATTAATTTAAGGCCCTGATCCTGCTAACGCTTGCTCACATTCGTGTGAATAATGTGTGATGGTTTCAGCAAGGTGTCTATAACTTAGAATTCCTGACTTTTGCTCCATCAAAATATCTGTAAGGGTAAAATAGGTCTTGCTAACCTTGGATCCACTGAAAATGGTTTTAGAATAGTAGCTTAGGCAAAGTAGGAGGCTGTGAAGAAAAAAGTAAAGTGTAAGGTGGAACATAAAATCAAGACATAGGAAACTAAGTAGTAAAATGTGGCCTATTTGTCAGCATGCAAAGAGGTTAATACTGGAAAATCCCGGTGTCTATTGTAGGTTTTATGGTCGTCAATTATATGGAAGACAAGGGTGCCTAATATGGTGCCCAAAGTTGCTATTTATTAACATTAAGTAAGTATGACAAGACTAGATTGTGAGGAACTCCACCAGAAACTAATGGAACTACAGTAGGTAATTGGAAAATATAATAGCAGATAAAATTCAAAGCAGACAAATGCAACTCAGTGCACTTTGGAAGAGAAAATGATATTATTCAAGCATACTGATAAGTTGTAACTCTTAAGAAGGGGAAAAAACAGTCATGCTGAGCGACTCAGTGAGAATATCTGTTCACTGATGGATGAAAGAAGCAAGTTAGGCTCTATTAAGGAGGTTATCAAGAATAATACAGCATATATTACAATTGTGTTGTATGAATCAATTATATGCTTTCACCTTGAATGCTGTGTTCAGTTTTGATTGTTTCCTCTCAGAAAAGGCACAGCAGAACCAGAGAAGGGTGACAAAAAATACTTGTTCTGGAGAGCTTCCATGCAAGGAGAGATTTAAAGAATCAGGATTACTTCATTTATACTGAGATTAAGAGGAGATATAAGTATATAATAATGAATGGTGTGTCTGATGGATTTTGAGCCAGTCTGTAATAATTTATGAATATTATGGTGGGCTTGTTAGGGGTGTTTTCTGTGTGACTGTATTGGGAATGAACAGGAATGAATCTTGAAAAATGAGGAGGATGGAAAAAGTGTCTCAAGAAGCTACCCCGCAACAAACACTTTAGAGTTGCTAAAGGACAAAACAGGAACTGTTGGCTTTGAGAACTCTGGCTTGATTTCCTAGGGAGCCTAGGTGGACTGCTTTTGACAACAAGGGTCAAAGCCAGAGAACACAGAAGAACCAAAGAATTATAGCAGGGTTTGAAAGGCACCCTCTCAAAAGAGGTGTGGTGGTAGTTCAGGGGAACCAGCCTGAGATACAGCACCAACTGGGACTGTCTCTAAAAGGTAGGACTGCTTAGATCACCATCACAGGATGATAGGGCTTTAGGTAAGATGACATATATGTAGACTGTTTTTAAAATACATTTTCTCTCAAAGCTTTGTTCCTACTGCTAAAATCATACTTTTATTTTAAGAAGGCTGCCTG